TTCATGATGGATGATTTTGAGATGTGTTGTTGAATCTGGTTTGCTAGGATCTTGTTGAAAATTTAGCATCTATGTTCATCAAAGGTATTGGCCTGTAGTTCTCTTTTTTTGTTGGGTCTTTACCTGGCTTGGGTGTCAATGTGATGTTAGCTTCGTAAAATGATGTGGGGTGAGTTCCATCTTTCTCAATCACCTGGAATTCCATCAGTAGGATTAGTATTAGCTCCTCTTTAAATATCTTGTAGAATTCTGCTGGGAAGCCATATGGTCCAGGGCTTTTTTTATAGGTAGTTTTCTTATTATATAGTCAATTTCCTTGATTGTTATTGGTCTATTTAGGGTCTCAATTTCTTCTTGTTCCTACCTAGGCAGGTTGTGTGATGACAGAAAGTCCTCCATTTCATTTAGATTTTCAAGTTTGTTTCCATACAAGTGTACATAGTACACTCTAATGATCTTTTGTATTTCTCCAGGATCAGATGTGACTTCATCTTTTGTGTTTCTGATTTTGTTTACTTGGGCTTTTTCTCTCTTTTTCTTGGTCAGTCTAGCTAGGGGACCATCAATCTTGTTTATCCTTTCGAAGAATCAGCTTTTCGTTTCATTGATTTTTTTGTATTATCTTTTTGTCTTCTCTGTCCTGGGTTTGGGCTTTTATATTGGTGATCTGGATTCTTCTGCTGACGTTAGGGTTTTGGTGGTCTTGCTTTTGCAGCTTCCTTAGTTGGCTTGTTAGGCTGTTAATTTGTGACCTTCCATTTTCTTAGTGTGCATTTGTAGTTATATAAATTCTCCTCTTACTACAGCTTTTAAGGCATCCCAGAGATTTTTGTAAGATGTTTCTTCATTTTCATTTGCTTCCAGGTATCTTTTAATCTCTGTTTTGATTGCATCATTGACCCAGGAGTTGTTTAGCATCATGTTGTTTAGCGTCCATGTCTTTGTGTGTTTTGGGGGGACCTTGTTGGTGTTGTTTATTTGTATTCCACTATGGCCCAAGAAGTTGCATGGTAAAATTTTGGTCCTTTTAAATTTGCTTATGCTTGATTTATGGCAAAGTATGTGGTTGATCTTAGAGTACGTTCCATGCGGTGATGAGGAGAATGTGTATTCTGTGGTCTTTGGGTGGAAGGTTCTGTAGGTATCAATTAAGTCCATTTGATCAAGAGTCACATTGAGGTTTCAGATCTTGTTGCTGATTTTTTGTCCTGATGATCTGTCTAGGGTTGTGAGTGTGGTATTACAGTCCACAGCTATGATGGTATTGGAGTCAATATCTTTTTTTAGTTTACTTAGGAGCTGCTTTATGAAAGTTGGTGCTCCTATGTTGGGTGCATATATGTTTAGGATGGATATTTCTTCTTGATGGATTGAACTTTTTATCATTCTTTAGTGGTCTTCTGTATCTTTTTTTTAATTTTTGATAGCTTAAAGGGTATTCTGTCTGAGATTAAGATCATTACTCCTCCTTTCTTTTGTTTTCCATTCACCTGACAATTTTTTTCCCATCCTCTTCCTTTGAGTCTATGAATGTCCTTTCTAGTGAGGTGAGTCTCTTGAAGGCAGTAATTTGTTGCCTGGTGATATTTTATCCATTTTGCCATTCTATGTCTTTTCTGTGGTTCATTTAGTCCGTTCACATTCAAACTAATTTTTGAAAGGTGAGAGTTGATCCCTATCATAATGTTCTTACAAAGTTGTTGTTGTTCTTCCTGTTTGTGTGTTGTCTTTCTTTTGGTTATAGAGTTGGATCTTGTTTGTTTTTAATATTTTACCTGTACACTTGTGAAGAACGTTGTTGTTGTTCATTTTTCCTTTTCTTCTGTGTTCAGTACTTTCTTAAGTGTCTCCTGTAGAGATGGTCTGGTGGCAGCGTAGGTTCTTAGTGATTGGATATCTGGGAAAGATTTCAAATCTCCCTCACTGATGAAGCTTAGCTTGTCTGGGTAGGTTATTCTTAGTTGAAATTGTTTATCTTTTAGAACTTTGAATATAGGGCTCCAAGCTCTCCTAGCCTGGAGGATTTCTGTAGATAAATCTGCTGCTATTCTAATTGTTCCTCCCTGGTAGATAGTCTGACCTTTTTCTTTTGCTGCCTTTAGGATTTTTTCTTTTATACCTACTTTGGTTAGGCGAATTAGTATGTGTCTGGGAGTTGTTCTTCTCATTTCTTGTCTTGCAGGGATTCTCTGAATCTCTTGTGTTTGGATTTTTTCATCACTGATGAGATGGGGGAAGTTTTCTTGAATGATTTCATGATATGTTTGTTCCAGTGTGGCCTCTATTTCTCTCTCTGCCTCAGGAAGGCCAATTACTCTTAGGTTCAGTCTCTTGAAGTGATCCTTCATCTCTTGAAGGTTTTGCTCTGTGTTTTTGAGCTTCTTTTCTATGTTTTTGACAGTTTGGGTTAGTTCTGTGTTTTGGTCTTTGAGGTCTGAGATTCTTTCTTCTGCTTGGCTAATTCTGTTTTCCATGCTTATTAGTTTGTTATTCATTTCCATCACAGTATTCTTTACTGTTGTTATTTCTGACATCAGCTCCTTCCTATTTTCCTCTTATCTCTCCTCTATTTTTTTAATTCTCTCTATTAATGTCTTGATGTCTGGGTTTGTTGCGTGTTACTAGTCATTCTGGGGGCTCTTCATTGTTTGTTTCCTGGAGTCTGTTTTCTCAGTGTCTGACCTCCCAGTGGTCTGTATGACACCTATATTCTTCTTTTGGTGTTTCTTCATTTGTGTGGGTTTTTCCCCTCCCTACTTTTTCCTTCCCTCCACATCACCATCTTCTTTAATTCTGTTATTCATGGGTAGAGGGGTTGCTTTTACTTCTGTTTCTTCAATCTCCTATTCTTCTTTATGTATGCCCTCTGACTTTGTTCAGTTCTGTAGTTGCACTGTAGGTTGGAGGTGGTCCTTTTGCAGTTTTGAGATTTACTTAAGGGGGGGCGTGATTCAGAATCTATTTGCAGGTCCTGGTATTTGCCAACAGTTGTATGGATAATCTGAAACCCACTTCCCACTGCCTTTAATCTGTTCGTGCAGTGGGGCTGTAGCTTTACTCCCTGAAATAAAATGAGGTTAGCAGAGGGAAGAGAATGGAGCAGACAGTGGGGGGATGAGGGAGGTGGAGAGAGAGAGGAGTAAGGGGGGAAACAGACGAGTGTACCACCAAATGGAGAGAGAGACTTAAACTGAAACAGATAAAAACAATAGACCTCTAGACTAACCAACTCCCATACAAAAGAAACTAAAACATACAATGATGCTAACATACAAGCTAACCAACCACCTTATTGGTGTGCTGTTCCTCCATACAAAGAAATGGTTTACAGAGAGGAGAAAAGAGAAGAAAAGGAAGAGAAAAAAAAGGAACAAAGCAGTAGGAATAGAATCAAGTCATTAAACTAACAGAACCAATCAAGCATACTCTGAGACTTTTTGTTTGAGTCCATTGTCCTTTCAGCTCTGATTTCTAGCTGTCTTCTCAAGCTGGTAAATTTGTTCACAGTTAGGGTCAGTTGCCCCTGGCCTGCTGTGAAGGACAGTTCAGATCACCACTCAAATCTGGCCTGTGTCTGTTTTTCAAGCTTGTTTGTCCCGTTTCGGTGTTGTTACCTTGAATTGCCTGCAGGTGGTGCTATCTCGCAGCCCCAGAGGGGGTAGAACTGGACAGGAGCCCTGCAGAGGCTGGAGATGGGAGCCTGCCTCAGGGCACACGAGAGGTGACCCATAGCCAGCAGGATGTCACGGTGGCAACAGAGGAGGCAGCGATCCCAGCAGATCTTGCTGCAAGGGCTTCAAGGACTGAAGTCGTGGATCGCCTCAGGCATGGGTAGCACAATGCACTACGGCCGCCACGGAGGCCACGGCGACACCAGCGCCTCTGTGTCTGCAGCTGCAGTGGCTGTCCAGACCACTGCGATGCCCCAGCGGTGGCGACAGCCTAGTTCCGTGTGAAGATCAGGCTGCCAACGTTGGGATCTGCAGCCCTTGGGGAGAGAGCCAGAAACTCTCTGCGTTCTCCTTTGCAGAGGGTCTCATAGACCAGGCTGCTCCATCATCATCTTGCCAGAAGTTCCCTCTTTTTGTACTTTTAAATATTCGGTTTTATTTATTTCTAAATCTAGTTCATTTTCATTAGCCATAGCAATCTGTATGTGAAGATATATTTTCCTTTTAAAAATGTTATTGATTTTAAAGGTATTTTTCCCCACTTAAATTAATACAAGAAGATGAGAAAATTTATATTTGTCATTGGTCCTCTGCTCTTAGCTAATGAAAGTTTTATGTTATTCTCTCTAATCATATATTAAGTATTCACTTGTTAGTTAATTCTGATACTCAGTTTATCTTCACTTCTGTTCAGTATTTATTGCTCAATTTCATCCATTCTTGTTCAGCACAAGCTTTTACTTTCTTTCCATTGAGAACAGGGTAAAAATTTGTCATCTTTTACTGTGGACTTTAGAATTGACCAATGCTATGGTACTTTTTATTAAATATCATTCAATTACTGTGTAACTTTCTGTGGCGTATAATACGTGAAATTCATTTTGTAGTTTTTTTAAAAGAAGATCTTATATTAATGTTTTAGGCATATGTAATAAGATATAATGTATAATTCTCAGTATTTTCAACTGTACAATTTAAAGCTTTTTACAAATCATATTTTTGCCCTCTTTATTCTGCATTCTGTGCTATGAAATTGCTGTAATGTAGTCTTAAGTGTGTGTTCAGGAATGTGCGTAAAACAAAAAAAAAATACCTTATAGTTCACTTTTACTATTTAGTCTCGCTAATGACTTTTCAGAGATGTCATACTTCCTTAAATTTGGCTTGATTTAGAATTTATAAAACTGTAAGTATGCAACTGAAGTTTACCTTCATAGCATATGGGAACGGTATATATGAAAGTCTCTTTCAAGGCAAATAAATTGTTGAGTTAACAAGGGAGATACATTCCATTCACATGTTATCATATAGTGGTGGAGAACATAGTCTGGGTTCAGATCCTAGCTTTTACTTACTATTTTCCTGACCTTAGACAAGTTACTTCTTTTCTCTATGCCTTAGCTTTTCTGTCTGTAAAATAGGAATAATGATAGTATCTATCTCAGGATTGATATCAGGATCAAATTAATTGGGACAATGTATGGCACTTACAAGTACTCAATAAGTGTGAGTTTTTACTTTAAAATTAATCACCAGAGTTAGAGAGAACTCTACGAGCCATAAGGGTGTGTTCTAGAACATGAGTGGATACCTTCGAGGCATGTCTTGGTGAGCTGAGCTGGTCAGTGATTGTTCTTCATTTATTTCAGAATAATTTTCTGCTCTAAAAGTAGACTTCTGACCTGTGCAACAGAAGCCTCTAGCAGAGATGCCTCCTAAGGAAACCAGAGATAACCTTTTCTTCAAAATAAACATGTAATTTGTTGAATGAGTTTTCATTATGTGGAAATGGAGTTAGATGAGAAAGTTATTTAGAAATACCTGTTTGCTATAAACACTATTCAATAATACATCACTTATTTAGCACCCCCATAGAGTGTTATAGTCTCTCCAAATCCATTCTTCAGATAGCTGCAATTTATCCTTTCAGAACTGAAATGTTATTTTAACACTTTTTTCTTAATTACCCTTCTAGCATGTATCATATTTCTTTGCCATATTATACCGAATATATACTAAACATATTTTAACCTTTTTTCTTTATAACTTAGGGTTATTGTGAACATAATTGATTATAGTTCTTATAATCCAACAGTGCCCTTGAGGCCTATTAAGGTGTGTAGGTCTATTTGCTCCTATGCTAAGTGACCCCATATTGTTGTGGTTTTGTCATTTTATTGTGTCTACATTTTATGTGGCTTCCACTTTTCCCTCTGTCAGGCTGTTTTCATGCAGCTGGCAGGATGCTGTCTCTGGCAGCACTTTCTATTGACCTCCCTTACCCCTTACTTGCTTCTCATAATTTGCAGAGAGTGAGATAAGTGCTTATTAAAGTTGCATGTAGTATTAACATAAAACTCAAGTTCTGAGAGAATGGTTGTGTTAGTCTGTGGGCATTGTAACATCTGCCTTGGGTGTTAAGCCTTATATGTATAAAAGATCGCTGAATAATTAAGGTATTACTGTAATTGCAATATGAACAGAGGCCAATGTTGCATAAGTTGGTATTTTGATCCACTGATAGAAAATCATTGTCATCCAGTAATGTGCAGTCTTTCTAAGAGCAACCTTAGGTTAGCCTAGTTATGGTATCCTTTTTAAAGTAGTAAAGTTACATTTTATAAAATCTATAAATCACATTAAATTCCCATCCCCTTAGCTAATTTGGTTTGTTATTGAGATCAATAAATATTTGAAATGTATTTATTTATTATGCTTTTCAAAGTTAAAAAAAAGCCATAGTTTTTCACAAACATACAACATCTTTCAGGACATAACCATATATATATTCCTACTCATCTTTTCTTACATCCTAATGAATTTAATAATGAGATTTATTTTCTTTTAGGGTCATTCATAAATGAACAAAACTATCTCTGTAGCCCTTCCATTTGACATTCAAGTTCACACTCTTTATAGTACTTAATCATATTCTAGGTATTTTAAGTTTTTTATATGCATAATAGGCAGTAACAGCTGTTTTATTCTAGGATTTAATGTTACGTGATGTCACATGTTATTTATCTGTGATATGATTATATGTTTGTGAATATACAATGAGAATATAATATATAATAATGAATAATCCAGAATTGTATGCAGATACTGGTTTATATACTCTTTTCTACTTTTATGACCTACTTTGAGTATGTTATATAACTCTCAAAAAATGAGTTTACATAAAACAATTATGGGTGCCTTTTTTCTTTTTCATTTGCTTTTTGAAAAAGTGACATTTTAAATTATTTTTATTAGCATTGTCACAAAACAGAGTTGATTTTACAAGTATACTGATTTTTCCTCCTGATCTTAACTTGTTCTGTTTCTGTTTTGTTTTTTTCCTTAAAATTTACTGAGAAATATAAGCTAATCCTGGAGTTTTTTATGGTTGGATTCAAAAATTAAATCGTGTGCCAAATGTCATCAAACTCAGTTCCTCACTCAGTATCATTACCAAAAAAAGCATTTCAAAAAAATGTTTCTGAGCTTTTGTCTTTTTAATACAGTCATATATTCCTACTTGTGCTATTTCTGTTACATTTGGCCTTTGTGCCTATAAGAAAGATATGTTATGTGCTATATTGATCCCTAAATAAATAAATAATGAATTTCTAGTTAGGGTGCCCAACAGGACAGGTTGACCAGCCTGTACATAAAGATTATTTAAATGCATTTGGGGCAATTTTTCCTACCTGTATAGAGTGAAGGACTGCTATGTGTGGTAAACTCAGAAGCTTGAGGAATAGACTTCCAATCTTTTTCAGCAAGCATTTACTTTGGTTTTACATTCACATTTGTAATGCCATCAATTGTTTTTCTAATATGTCATCATTGAAAGAATCATGGCTGATGAGTACGGAATTAGATTCATAAAACTTGATTCTGGAAGAGTTCCTGTAAATGAACTAATTTTCCCCCTTCTAGTTAATCATGAAACCAGAAAGATAAACTGATTTGGGCAAGTAGATAGAGCAGAAGTAATACCAGAGCCACATAACCATCCTATAGTGTGTCACTCAGCTATTGTACATTACACTTGTCACTTTATAATGAACTCATTGTGAAAAGTCTGAGTAGAAATTCCATTTTGCATGTGTTTCAAAACAACAACTTATAAGAGATATCAGTGTTCCAAGTCCAGGTTTGGAGAACTAAAAAGGTATTGTTATTTCTACTTGTGTTTTGAGTTATTTCTGTCTTCTGAATTTCAGATGCTCTTTTTTTCAGTGATACTGATTGTAACTGGCACTCTGTTCATCAAAGTTTTTCAAGTATAACCCTTTTGTTCTGGGAAATAAAGTTTATTTTGCACTAAGTTATATTTAATGCCAATACAAATCTAAGTATATTGCCAACAATGCAATTGTGATAGAGAATATATTTTGTCATCTGTTTAGCCTGTTACAACTTTTAATTTTTTTCTTATTATAGAGATGTGGGGTACTAGTGAGGATTAACTACATAGGTAGGCTGCGTGCAGGTGAAGTTTGAGCTTCGAATTGGCCCTACCTGGAAGTGGACCGGGTACCCTTTGTGTTGTCAAGTGCCTCCCAAACTACTCCCTCCTTCCCTGTCTCCCTCAGTAGTGCTCAGTGACTGCTGATATCCCCATTGTGTTTATATGATTATTGTTCAGGGCCCACTTATGAGTGAGAACATGCAGTATTCAGTTCTTTGTTTCTGTGATAGTTCATTTAGTATGATGGTCTCCAACACCATCCAATTTGCTCAAAGTCCATGATTTCATTCTTTTTTATAGCCACATAGTACTCCATCATGTGTATGTATTACTTTTTTTTTTATCCAGTCCATTTTCAAAGAGCAGTAGACTTGGCTCCCTGGTTTTGCTGGTGTGAATAGTATGGCAATAAACGTGTGTGCAGGTGACATTTTTGTAGAATTATTTGTGTTCCTCTGGCTATAGTCCCAGGAGGGGGGATTGCTGGATCATATGAAAGATCAATTTTTAGTTATTTTAGAAATTACCACACTGCTTTCCATAGAAGTTGAACAAGTTTGCTCTCCCACCAACAATGTAGAAGTGTTCTTTTTTCAATGCACCCACACCACCATCTGTTGTTTGTTGACTTATTAATGAAAGCCAAACTCACTGGAGTTAGGTGGTATCTCATTGTAGTTTTAATTTGTATTTCTCTGATGATTGGTGAGGTTGAACATTTTTTCATGTGTCTGTTGGCTGCTTGTATGTCTTGTTTTGAGAAATGTTTGTTCATGTCCTTTGACTACTTTTTAATGTGTTTTTTTTCCTTTCAATTAATTT